AGTCGTGGAGCCTGAACTGTGGGCCTGGGTGCTGTCCCTCAGCTCTTCAGCTCAAGGCTAGCGCTCTACCACTTGAGCCAAAGCGCCACTTCTGGCTTTTTTCTTTTTGCTTATGTGGTGCTAAGGAATCGAACCCAGGGCCTTAGGCATGCAAGGCAAGCGCTCTACTACTGAGCCACCTTCCCAGCCCCAATCTGGCCATTTCATTAAGCAAAAAATGCACAACTTTCATCAAAAAGCTTCATTTGGAAGTAACAGAAAATTCCCACTAGAATGTACCTCCTTGTCCAATAAATGTCCAAACATTACCGAATTTCTTCTGCATAGCAAAAATCTAATTCTCACTACTGTGAACAATTGATTGAAAATATGCCACAGTCTCCACTCTGATTTTTTTTCACTTGAACTATGGTGAAAAATGAAGGGTAAACACTAACATCCAAGATTTTCACTGTACCTGGAAGAAAGCACATGACAATTTCTCAATATCTGGTAGAGGCTTCCTTGGATAAAACTTTAAGAACTTATCCAAGGGCCTTGGCCAGGAAGCCTAAGGCCTATCCCTCACCTCCACCTTGTTCTCTTTCTCTGCTTCCCTAGAAACCTGCAGTACCAAACCTCACTCCGGTTGAAATGTGACCACTGGTGGCTCTATAGAACCCCTTGAAGAGACCCTCCCAGCCCAATCAAACTTTTAAATGGTAGGACACCATTTACATATCTCTCTTCCTCTGTTATTTTCAGTTTGTGGTCTACAGACAGGAAATCTAGGGAAAGTGCACTAAGTAGATAATGTTTGAATCCACATAAATTCCTGAATGGTTAGAGAAACCTCACCTGTTATGGTATAGATACCAGCGATGGTCAACAGCATTAGGGTAGTCTGGTAAATATCTATGTCCCAAGCCATTTTCAAGAACATGGCACCATAGCAAATCTCCAGCTGAAACAGGTACAAGGTCATCAGGCTGCACTTCATTTCCAATGGAATTAATAATAATCAGAGAAATGGGTCTCAAAAGCCATATTCGAGGTGATCTCTGATGAGTACCCCACAACTGGTAGGTGATGTCAACAGAAGGTTTGAGACCCATAAGTTCAACCAAGCTCTCAGGGCTTGAGTTATCACAACTTAGCCTCTGTCACTCCCAAGCCACTGCATGGGGAGTGGACTCAGAGTCAGTTGTTCTTGCAATTCTGCCACTGGGAAAAGCCAACTGCTTTAGAGGTTGACAAGTTTTTTCTAAACAGGGCCAGATGGTTAATATTATTGGCAGCTTGACTTACACATTGTATCTGGTTAATACAGCCTTTTAAAACTGTAAAAGTCATTCTTAGCTCATGCACTGTGCAAAACATATCACTAACTAGACTGCCTGCCCTGTGGATCAGATTTGTTGGCCCTGGATTTACACATTATTTAGCCAGCTAGCCTCTTGCTTTATTATTGTGGCTCTTTAAGCAAGGGATACAATTAGCAGAGCTTCATGTAAACATTTACTCACTAAATGTTTATAGTGCCAGTCATGTCACAAGACAGTCATCAGGGTTCAGCAGACCCTGACCTACCAAACTCAGTCACTGTCCCCCAGGAGGAACATGACTATACAGACACTTTCCATGCAATGTTATAAATGCTGCCCATTTAATTATTTTTTTAAAAAAGATTTTTGGACAAAAATCCAGGCAAGTTTTTTCAGGAAACTTGAAATGAAGAAGCAAGTACACAAAAGTTACTCTCACATGCAGACAAGCATTCCAAAGAAAAGCAGAGCAGTGGAGTAGAGATTGACTAAGCCCTTCCTTGGAAGGTCTTTCCAAGGAGGTGGCATTTCTCCTCCAATTAATGATGGGGTCAGCCATCTAGAAGAACATTTTAGACTATAACACTAGTACAAATGGCCTGAAGAGTGACTGAGCTGGTTTTGGGGTTGGAGATGAATGAGTAAGGCAATGTGATTACAGGGGAGTAAATAAGAAATATAATCCACAAAGGCAGGCAGGGCCAGCCCTGTAGTCTTGCACAGACTTTTTCTTGCAAGGAATGGAAATGCCTGGATGTTTTTTTGGACACATTTTCTAATTACATGAGATGGATGAACCCAAGGTTGTTTAGGAATAGAGAGGTCAGACTTGTAACCCATACTGAGAGGTAAGATAGATCCTTCTGTTCTTTATCTTCAGCAAAGTATTAAGCTGTCAACAGTAAGGTTGAATATGATTAAACTACTCTAACTCACAGAAGCAAATGAGTACAGAATAAGGTGCTGGAATAATCTAGCATAATCCTGTTAGTTCTTAGGAATTTTTTTTTCGTTTTTGAGTCTTCTCCATCTTGGGCTGACTCTGTCATAACTCACCGAAATCCTACTGAAGATATGGAGGATTAAATACAGAACAGAAAGGAACAGCTGGATTCGGATGCTACCAAATCTCTTTCTCAAATACTCTGGCAATGTCACCACCTGTGCAAGCAACAAGACAAGTTTCCATGAGGATAATGAAGTTTGAGGAGGCAGCTCTGTGGGGGTAAATATTTCTTACAGAATGCTGTTTATATAGTCACAGCCCATGAGCATGGCTCATGAGTATAATGCATAGAATCACTGACTTTCATACCAATCGAGATTGGAAAAATGAGGATGGAGAGGCAAATGATGATGCTCATGAAATAATGATTGAGCAAAATCAAGTGCCTTGTCTCTGTTGAAAGCATAGTCCATGATCCAGGGATTTGAACCTGATTCCACTGCTCTCTGACCTCTCTCTGTGTCAACGCTGTTCACCAAGGAGTTGGTGTCCAAATGATTCTGCTGTTTTCCTATATCAAATTGTATATAACACAAATTAAGCAATTGTGCCCTCTGTGTTCATGAAGTCCCTGGAACCTAGTGAAGACCTAACTCATGGTAGGTAATCAGAAATTGGTAAGTGAATATTGTCCCACTTTCTAGCCTGGATAACCTATGTATGTATCTACTCATACATCTATGTCAAATTCCCCACCTGCTTGATGGGGACTTCATAGGAACGATATGTCCTTTGATAAGCATTTGTACCTGCCATTTTTCACATCAGTTTTAGGTTCCAAATCATATTGGGACATAGGGAGTTGACTTGCTCAGTGAGGTTCTAAGCTTCCCAACCTGTTTCTGCACTTACTGGCTATATGTTTGCTATGGCTGCATAACAAAGCAGGGCAGTTTGGGTGGCTTGAACAAATAACAATTATTTCCTCACATTCTTGGGGCTATAAGTTCAAGGTTTCAGGGCATGAATTCTTTTCAGAGCTATGAGGATGTTTTCTAGGTCTTGCTCTCTGGCTTATCAACAAAATACTTCTGGGCTATAATAATCAGTTATAATACGAGACTGTTAAAGTCATATCCTCCTATCTTACTCTTAGCTATTCTTGTGTGTGTGAGAGAGAGAGAAGAGAGAGAATCTTCTATCTGAAACCTGAGGATATAATAACTTTTTTCTTGAGCCTCTCCTATTTCTATTATTTTGGTTAAACATAATTGACTCTGACTCTGTTTAGCGCTCTCTCTCTCTCCCTCCAATTGCATTTTCAGTACTAAATCAGGATCTTACGCTTGTTATGTACTCTGTTTATGGAATCATGCTTCCAGTTACTTTTTTATGTGCCTGTACTGGGGTGTGAACTCAGGCCCTGGGCATTGTTCATTACCTTTTTTGCTCAAAACTGGTGTTCTACTACCTGAGCTACACATCAACCTCTGGCTTTTTAGTAGTCAATTGGAGATAAACATTTCATAGAGTTTCCATTCTAGACTGGTTTCACACCTGGATCTTCCTCTGCTCTTAGCTTCCTGAATAGGTAGGATTAACAAATGTAAGTCACTGGCCTCCATCTTCCAGCCCTTTTTCCATCTGATAACTTTTGAGATAGACTCACATTTTGCTTAGCAGAGACTGAAACATAATCCTTCTAATTTTTTTCCTTGCATAGCTAGAAACAAAGAAGTAGTTACTGCTACAGGTATGTGCCATTTCACATAGTTTTGTCTGTTGAGATGAGTTTTTCTTGGTCAAGCCTCAAACTCTGCAGTATCCTGAGTAACTAAGATTCCAAGTACGGGCTACCACACCCAGTTCTGTATTGTAAATATCGACTTAATTTTCTATATGTCAGGAGGTTTATGTTATCTTAAAAAATGTATTCTGTCTGGAGAGAGATGATGCTTCTCAACTCTAGCTAGTGAAGGGCCTAGGCTGGAGCATACTATGGATATGCAAGTTCATTAGTCAAGAGCTTGACCTCCTTTATCTGGCCTATGCACCTCTGGGGTCACTATGCTACCTTAATTATTCCAGTATCAGATTCTAGACAATATGAGGTCATCTCTAGAGTCAAAACGGTGCTCAAATCAAACTATCCTAGTTGGTTGGCAACTGTTCATTCTACCTCTTTGAAAAAAGCCCCATTAATAGACCTGTCCCATATCTTCCCTTCATTCCTATTATCTGCCTCTTTACCATCCTATTATCTTTTTTATGTGTCAAATGCCATTTTTGGGACCCTCCTGTCTCTGATATTTGTGGGTATAATGAAATTTATTTGTTCTGAGTTTCTCCTGTTTCCACTCTTGTGGTCAAACCCAAGTGCTCGGCTAATAAAACAATATAAAAAGCTGGGTATATCGGGATTTCATCTCAATTAGCATTTACTGATGATTTACTGATGATCACTTAATATTTAAGGGAATTTTTTTCTTGGTCTAAGGTTCTCAACTTTGAATTTTATCATTTTCTTATCATTTTTTTTTTGGGTCCGGTCGTGGGGCCTGAACTCAGGGCCTGGGCGCTGTCCCTCAGCTCTTCAGCTCAAGGCTAGCGCTCTACCACTTGAGCCACAGCGCCACTTCCGGCTTGCTTTCTTTTTGCTTATGTGGTGCTGGGGAATCGAACCCAGGGCCTCAGGCATGCAAGGCAAGCGCTCTACCACTGAGCCACCTTCCCAGCCCCGTCTTATCATTTTAGTTGTTATTACAATATATTTGGCCTCCAGGTTTCTAGTGGGAAGTCAATTATTAATGTGTGATTCTTTCTTTTTATATAATGTGTTATTTTTCTCTGATTTAGACATTATCTATTCATTTTTGCTTTCTTTATCTCCACAGTTTCCTAGATATCTTGTAAGTATTTATATCTGGTAGGACAAGTTCGTCCTCATTTTCCTTGATAGCAATATCCTTGCCACTCTGTGTGTGTGTGTGTGTGTGTGTGTGTGTGTGTTAGAGAGAGAGAGAGAGAGAGAGAGAGGCAGGGGAGAGAGGGAGAGAGAGAGAGTACTCAAGCACTAGAGCTTGAACGCCTAGGTGCTAATCCTGAGCTGTTTTCCTCAAGGCTAGTGCTCCACCACTTGAGCCACAAACTCCTCTACTGGCTTTTTCGGTGCTTAATTGGAGATAGAGAGTTTCACATTCATTCCTGCCAGAACTGGCTTCAAACTACAATCCTCAAAGCTAAGCTTCTTATAGGATTTCAGGGATAAGCCACTGGCGCAGGCTTATCCATGCTACTTTTATGAGTTTGTTCTTCTATGGATATTTAGAACCAGTTTCTCAAGTTCCTTGAAATCCTTATTGCATTTTGTCTGGTATTATACTCCATGTACTACTGGCAACACTGAGTCTTCTAATCATTAACTATTTACTTCTTCACTTACTTATTTTTGAAACATTTAAAAGGCTTTCTATAAAATCCACAAATGATAAACTGTTGAGTAGGCAGATCCTTTTGCGGGTCTTTACTCAAGGCATAGTGACATATTTTAGGCATCTCAGGATAGAGAGAAGTCAATATGAAAAGAATGAGAAAGCTGGGCACTGGTGGCTCATGCCTATAATCCTAGCTACTCAGGAGGCTGAGATCTGAGGATCGCAGTTCAAAGCCAGCCGGGGCAGGAAAGTCCATGAGACTCTTATCTCCAATAAACACTAGAAAACCAGAAGTGGTGCTGTGGCTCAAGCGATAGAACATTTGCCTTGAGCTGAAGAGTGCAAGGACAGCGCCAAAGCCCAGAGTTCAAGCTCCACAACCGACCAAAAACAAAAGAAAAAAGAAAAGAATGAGAAATTCAATTGTCCTTCAGAATGTTATTAATACATATCCAACATTTGATAGAAAGTATATTATAGAGAATTGAGTAATGGATAATGGACACTTACCTCAGCTTTGATGTGTAATGGATAATGGACACTTACCTCAGCTTTGATGTAAATAGGAATAAATATCCAACCAAGAACAAAGAGCATTAAGATAGACTGAAACAAAGAAAAAAAAATCAGGCCCATCTAGATCAAGCCATTACGTGAAATGTAAGTTCGGTTTTGATCTGTTTTAGGCACCACTGCCAGGTACTAACAAGTAAATGCTCCAGTACCAAGAACTTAACATTCAAAGTTATGATAGTTTTTTTATAAAAGATTACTCTGTATATTAATTGGTGCAATTAACATACCAATTGATATCTGAAAGAAGACAAATCTACCTAAGAAAATTCAGAGGAATAGAAAAGAAACTCTACAAAAATTTCACACACCTGAAATTAAGTAAAAAAAAAAGATCTGCTTTCTTTAAAGAGAAGTAAAGTAAGGTGCGTGAGTACAAGATAAAGGAGCTTAAGCTGTGACCCAGCGACTCACGCCTATAATCCTAGCTACTCAAGAAGCTGAGATCTGAGGATCGTGGGTCAAAGCCAGCCCAGGCAGGAAAGCCCGTGAAGACTCTTACCTCCAGAAAATCAGAAATGGTGCTGAAGCTCAAGTGGTAGAGCACTTGCCTTGAGCTGAAGAGCTGAGGGACAGCACCCAGACCCAGAGTTTAAGCCCCATGACTGACCAAAAAAAAAAAAAAGGCACTGTTGGGAATTCACTCCTCTATACTTCTGGTATAGAACAGGATTCCTGTTAGGTTGGGACACTGTGGAAGTACTCTTTAATTTTTTACAGTACTTCAGAAAAAAGATGAGACTTAGAATGCATGTTTTTAATGATTTGTCATAAGTGATTTACATAGTTCAGTTAATAATCCAAGAATATTAAATTCATATATAATCAAATTGAAAAAATGTTACTTCTGATCATGGTTTGATGCTAGTCCAGGCAGGAAAATCCTTGAAAATCTTACCTCCAATTAACCAGCAAAAAGGTGGTACTAGTGGCATGGCTCAAGTGGTAGAGCACTAACAGAGTGAAAAAGTGAAGTACTAGCAGAGAGAGAGAGTGAGAAATATAAAAGCAGGAGGGAACAATGGAGGAGACAGACAACAGAGGGTAATAAGGATGAATATAATCAAAATACATAGTATAAGAATATGAAAATGTCATAATGGAATCCATTATTTGGTACAATTAGTAAGACCAGAAGACATTAATAGTTATTCAAGGTTAAAATCAAGTTTCTGACTTATAAGTTTTATTTAGATAGTGATGAAAGTGGAGGTCAGTAGCTGTGGAAGGTATGACATAATGACTTACATTCCATTCTAAGGCCCCAACAGCAATCCCTGAAGATGCTCCTATCCCAGCCAGGCCCATAAAGTGGCCACTACCAGTGTTTGCAGCAAAAAGAGAAGTGCCTATCTGAGAGTTAAAAGATAATTATGTATCAGAACACTAAGTCATATGTCAAGAATTAATTCTCACAAAGGTTAACTCCCACTGAATTTCACATTCTCTTTTTTAAAATTAATTTTATTAAGGTGATGTATAGTGTGGTTACAGCTGCATATGTAAGGTAATTAGTACATTTCTTGTCAAACATTATTACCCCTCCCTCATTTCACTCCCATTCCCCCCCCCATCTCCCCTGAGTTGTAAATTTCATTTCCAATTTATTGTATTGTGAGTATGGCTGTTGCAATGGTTCACTCTTTGTCTTCTGTCTCACCAATTTGCTGTTTCCCTTCTCTTTCCCAAATCAGATAAGCATATAAACAAGATACAGGATACCAAAATCAAATATAGTGACAACAGGGGATAAACCAAAGGAAAGAAAAAATATTAAAAAAAAGAACTTCACACTGTGCATTAAAAAAACAACAATAAAGGAAAACCTCTTGTTTCCATATCTTGGTGTTTGTTTTGATTAAGATCATCAGAAAATATGGCATATATACACAATGAAATTTTATGCATCCATCAGAAAGAATAACATCACCCCATCTGTAAAGAAATGGAAAGACTTGGAAAAAATCATATTAAGTAAAGCCAGAACCAAAGAAACATAGGCTCCATGGTTTCCCTCATTTGTAAAAATCAGTATATGTCTAGGATAGTCTTAGCAGAGGCTTTCAATAGATCAATAGCTATGTACATATACCATATAAGATGATCTAATCACATTCTTTTTTGCATTTTAATTTTTTATTTATGCACATTGTTACAGGTAATTTGTCCACCATGTCACAATAATACAGTGGCAATAACAATGAAAGCAATAACAATATTTCTTCTTGTAAGATGCTTATTGAAACTATCATATTTGTTCTAAGTATTATTTATTTTAATTTTCACTACTGCTGTGATTTAAGTATTTCATTACCCCAACCTTATTAGTGAGCAAATTAAGGCTTTTAGACCTTAATTTATTTTCCAAATTTACATAATTAAGTCTAGGTTTCTAGATGCAAAGTCTGTGGTAGTAATTTTTTATCTCTACCCTTAGTTTACTAAATATGTCCTGAAATATTCTGTATAAATGTCATTAAAGAAAATATCATAGCTCTTGCAGCTACTCTTTCCAGGGTTTCATCTCAGACAACATACTAATGCAACAAATTGTTAAAATTCAACTTTTCTATTGTACATACTTCTTGCAATTTTTCCTTTTAAGGGATAACTTTCTCAGTTTACATTTGTGTTAGCAATTCTGAGCTAATTCATTAACATTTCTGTCTCAAATTTTATACCCCTACAAATCTCTGAAGCTAATGATGCATGGTTGTAAAAAAGAATGTATGCTATAACTCAAAGATAACCACAAAAATGCAAATTCAATAAATACAAGCAGCAAAACATCAATAATCTGAAAGTATACTTGATGTGATAAACTGTCTGCAGATATTAAGTATCTGCCAAGACACAAAGACCACTGACCCCTAACTGACTGGTTCCAAGTTTGAGGCATAGGTGTACTATGAAGAATGAAGAGTAAGAGAGGAAATGGATTTCTGTAAAGATCATAACTAATTTCAATATCACAATACATTTCAAATTTGTGACATGTTTGTGGCCTCTCAAACAACTAAAATTTCTTATAGTCTACTTAAGGGACTTTGGGGAAGCACAGTTCCTTGTCTTTATATTTTGAGATAATTTTAGATTTATAGAATAATTACAAAAATATTTCAAAGAGCTACTTGGCATTTATCAGCAGGTCCTCAGGCTGAAAACCTACAGAACCTTAGTATAATTACCAAGAGATATAATGATTTAAACTAAACTGCATTGGCTTTATAGTACTCAACAGCATTTTTCACTAAAACTCTCTAGCCTACTTAGTTATCCTGTCTACACATTCTCTTAAAAGAGAGTATTCCCTTGGCAGAATTTCTTTTTTTTCTTTTTTTGAATTTCTATTCAGGCTTCTTTTACAGCTTCTATCATAAATTAGAAGAGAGGGGGAAAAATAAAAACTAGGCAACCACTGTCTCACACACCACTAATATGCTCATAATTCCCTAAAATAGAAACACTAACCAGAGTGTGATGTCTCTGCAATAATTTAAAACCATTGAAATTATCACTGGTTATGTACAGGATGGTTAATTAAGATTAATTAAGGACAGCATAGTCTACAGAAGGAACAGGCAGTTCTATAAGTGATGAGCAATCTATATATGACCTAATCCTTAAAATTTAATATGTGTACTTTATACTGTGCACATAAATATTTATATATGCATGAATATACATATACATATATTAGAATTATTACATTTGTTCACAACCAAAATCTGTTACTTTCAAAAGAAAACAAATATCCTGCAAGCATATAAAAGAAATAAAACGGCACAACACCAACAGTAACTTTTTTCCATTTTTTGATTAGCATAAGTTTTTCCAAGGGTTTAACTTTTGATATATTCAAACAACATAACTTTATCATCTAATCTATCCATCTCCTTCATCTACATTCCCTTCTCATATCAATCTCAACTTATTTCATGGTTCCAATTTCACATGTGTAAATAGTTATTTTTAACATGTTCACCCCCCTTTACCTTCTCTGTTCTTCTGCCTTCCCTTAGTACTCACACCTATGACAGGACATGTTTTGCATTCCTGTCATTCATTTTATTAAATTGAATGATAATTGTTTTTAAGAGATTTCACCATGGTATTTTACACATAAATATTGAGAATTTAATGAGATAAATGGCCTCATTCTCCCTTTCCCCATCTCTCCTACTCCCTATTATTCAGCTAATTTCAGTGAGTTTATTCCACCACCATTCCCAATATATAGATGCCATGTATCATTCTCTTGTGCTTCCCAATCCTGCTGACCCCCACAAACAATCCCAGAATTGCAGATATATTCTATAAATATATGTATATGTGATCCTGTATGTGTTTACACATGTTAATCTTTTAAGGTTGTGCTTTCACATATGACAGAAAACATGTGAACTTATCCTTCTGACGTTAGATTACTTCACGTAGCATGATAAGCTCCATTTCTATCCATTTCCCTGAAAAGGAAAACATTTCACTAATCTTTAAGCATGGTGTGAAGTGGAAAGGAAATGCCTGGCTAGAGATTCACAGTATGGATCTGCTAGGATGCAGGTAACGTTTAATGCCATTATACCAGAAAGATTGCCCAGGAATGAGTATAGTAGGAGAGAAATGAGAAACCAATGCAGCCTCTAGCAGGTTCAATGGTGCCTGGGGACCTCTTCACCAGGATTAAATGCTTGGTTAATAAGGTAAAAATAGCCAGGAAAACTGAGCAGAAAAAGAAGCAATAATTGGAACCAGATGCTCCAGCAAATCAGGTATCATGAAGGCTGAGTGCTGATATCAATTAGGCAAAGTGGAGGCCATCAGAGTCTCTGATAAAGCTATTGAAGGCCATCAGATATTTGTTCAATACAAAATATTAAGTATAAATGTAAAAGTGAAAAGAGAGGTAAGTTGCAATTATATTTCAGTTTTATTTGGTAATATTATGTATTTTGTTTACTAAGCAATTATCTTAAAAATGAGAAAAGTCACAGAAAGAAACTGGTAAATCAATTAACCAAACACATCAGAATTTCAACTATATCAGTGTCTTCTAAAAACCCTTCCAAGTATATCAGTCTTACAAGGTAACATGGGCAGCAGATTCTGCTTTTATGTACCTCTTTAGTTCACAAAGCAACCAAGACTAAAGTCTGCAGTCCTCATAGCCTAGGAGGAGATTGTGTTACTAGAATCTTCTATGTATGAGACCGAGTGGAAATGGTTCATTGCTCTATTGATTTCTTACTAATTTGAGCTTAAAAAAGAAGACAAATTAAAGACTAGTTCAATTAAGAAGAATGATCCTCCATAGCTCTTAGCTAATGAAAGCCAGACTCTTCTTTTAGGCTGCCTGCTATCATTTAGTGGCTGTGCCTTCCTCTCCCCTTTAAATAATGGCATAAAACTGGCATAAAACTTCTCTCTATTAAGTGTTACCCTTATGCAAGAAGCCAAATCCTTGTTAGAGGATTGGTTAGCATTTGAGGACAGCATCAATAGGTAAACTACACTTTAAAGACAGATGGTAAGAGTATCATTGTTAGAGAGAGACCAGCCAGGGTGCAAAAATGACCTAGTACCCTATCTCAACCAACAGCTGGGTATAGCATTGAACACCTGTCATCTCAGCTTATGTGGGAGATATAAATAGCAGGATTACAGCTCACAACTCAGGGCAGTAGATCCAACCAAAACAGAACAAAAAAGTAACACTAAAACAAAAAATGGCTAGAAATGTAATGTTTACCTAAGAAGTGCAATTTCCTATGTGGAAAATGTATGTACACTGTCACACAGTTAATTTATAGAGTAACACAGGCTCAAGCATGGCTGAGTCTCAGTCTGGGCAGCCTCTTGCATTCCAGTGCATACATGGAGCTACAATGGGCAGCTGCCTCTATGACTGGTGGCCTTTTACTTGTTCCTCTTAAGATACTTCGTGCCAGCAATAAATTAGTTTATGTATAAACAAAAAAAGAAGATTCTCTCTTACATTCTGCCTCCCTCCATCCTGCACCATGCTGCATCTGCCCTTCCCTCTGCCCAGAAGTCATCACACTTGATCTATTTGTAAAACACCTACTCTACCTCCAAATCCCTCTCACAACTCTACCTCTGGCAGTCCTTTTCTGTGTAACTGTACCAAAAGCACAAGTTAATCTTTCACCCCTATTCTTTGTCTGTGTACTTCCTAACAGTCTTCTTGTCCTGCCCTGGAATGTTGTGCAATTAGTTTACTATACAGCCCACTGCAATTCAGAAACACATAGGTAAAAAAACACTTGAAAGTTAAGCAAGCTACTAATTACGTGACATCTCTGCTGCAGTGTGATGTTCTATATTTGTAATGCCACCATTTAAGAATTTGAAGACACTATGTTGAAAACGATCTTTACAAATTCAGGGGAGGGGGGAGAAGTTGGGGAGACTGGTAGGGAAGGGATGGTAGGGAAAAAACAAAGGAGGAGTTAACAATGCTTGATAGGAAATGTACTCATTACCTTATTCACATAACTGTAACTTCTCTGTACAGTATCTTTACAATAAAATATATATTTAAAAAAGGATTTGAGCAGGAAGATCATGGGTTCAAGATTAGCTAGGCTACAATATGTCTCAAAAATAAAAGGAAGGGATAGTAAGAGAAAGACAAAGGAAGGAGTAACAATGTTTGACAAGAAATGTACTCATTATCTTACTCATGTAACTGTAACCCCCCATACAGCATCTTTACAATAAAATAAAATTTTAAAAAATAAAAAGGACATTCCTGCTTTAGTAACTTTGGTTAATTTGGAGAAATAATACATCTAAATAAAACTCTAAATTAAAGTACTTAATAAGATAACACATACAATCCCCTCAAACCTCCACTGCTTACTCACCAACCACCATGTTAGATTTCCACCAGCCAGGAAAAAGTCTTTTACAGTAGCACGATTATGTGACAATACAGCCTAAAACAGAAACAAAAACACCCCAGTGGAATACCAGAAGCCAAACTGCCCCATAAAACTATTTCTGACCTTCATTTAGTCCCAAATCTAAGTACTAGCATTTAAAATGAACGAAAAAATATAAGAAATATACAGTTGGCATGGTGGCTCATACCTATAAAAAAGCTACTTCAGAGGCAAAGAAGAACTGAAAACTAGCCAGGTGAAAAAATTATCAAGACCACTATCCTAAACAATACATTGATATAGTATTAAGCACCTGTCCTTCTAGCTATGTATAGGAAAGACTTAAATATCAGGATTGTAGTCTAGAACATCCCAAGCAAAAACATGAGATCCACAAAAATAAAACCTACCAAAATCAGGAATAGCAGCTGTAGCGCTTGTCTAAAAAGTGCAAGGCAGTGAATTTAATCTATATGTGCATAGACACAGACACAAACACACAGAGAGTCATAGAGTAAGAAAGGATTCTGGTCATTAGGTGGTACATATCTTGCCGCTTTCTTCCATCCTATTTCTGAAATAGTACAGCAAGTACAGCAATTGGTAGGCGATGAAGTCAACATTTTCTAAAAGATGTTGAACTGATCATAGAAACAAAAAAAACAAAGACATGAATATTGTTCCTTGATGTATGAATTACAGAAATATATATGTTTGAACACATATATTGTACATCTTATACAATATGTGTTTGTATGTTTGCATAAACACTGACAAAAGAAGTACCTTATCTACCTCAGAAAAAGTATTATGTTATACCTCTGGTGTGGCTTGTTGTTATTATTGTTATTTGGACATACACTCTTAGAATTTTCTGTTTAGGCTGGTTTCAAACTGAAATCCTGAAGGTCTCAATTTCCCAAGTAGGTAGAATCACAGGCCAGACTGGCTATGTGGTTCAAGAGCATCTTCCTTGAGGAAAAAAGCTAAGCAAGGGTCTGAGGCCTTGAGTTCAAACCCTAGTACCAGCACACACAACACAACACACACACACACACACACACACACACAGAGCTAGAATTATAGGCACACCATAGTAGTCCAACTATATATTTGTATACTTAAAATCACCTTTAGACTATGGCTTAATAATATCTCAAGAAGTATATTTTCAAACTCTTGTTTAAGGAATAATGGCAAGAAAGACAAAATACTCATCCAGCTTAGATAGAATGTTTCTGAATAATTTTCCTATTTTTGGTTGAATCTGAAGGTAAGGCAAGCAGAATATGTAAATGATAGCATAGATGTGAAGATTACAGTCATCACCACCATTACCCTATGAAGGGCTCATTATGAATACTGCTCAGGGCTTAAGTTCCAGGCAGCAGGTGCAGGAACATTTGACCTGTCAGATTTGTCAGTGGAAAGCAGAAGCGTGTGAAGGTGTGATTGTTCAGTATGGCTTGGATGAAGAGAACATGTATTTATTCTTGTGGAAAAGGCAAAAGGAGGATGGAAAGGTGTCCTCTGAGGGCTCTGTTTAGACAGGCTCCAGTATTCTAAGTGAGAACTCAGTAATGTAGGCAGAGGTCAAACCCAGCCTGGAGTACAAGGTCCTGCCCTCCCCCTAGGCGCCACCTTACCCATAAGCCGATGCTCAGGACCAACAGGAGGTAAAAAATCGTCACCATTGTGTCCATGGGGTTGTGGCTGTGGAAGCCCACGGTGCTCCAGTTCCAGGTGACAGAATAGTAGTTCCCCAAACCATCCATTGCGACAATCCTGGGCCGGATCAGCAGCACTTGATGCAAGGTAATAGCAACGTTATCACTTCCGGTCGTAGGTTGCAGGGAATGCTGGGAAGTGCCACGGTTGTTCTGGGTTCTCTCCCTGCTGCAGAGAACTCCTTCTCCTGGGGTAGGTCTGATTACCCAGAAAACAGAAATCACTTCGTGGCTGCCAGTCCAGGACAAATGCTGACCATCTTAGGTACAATCGCAACCTCCTCAGCTAAAGATTGGATGTGGAGAGGACAGACCTGAGATCACTGGGGAAAGATCAATAAAAGAATGATTACAGATCTTTGGGCAGAGTAAGAAAACTGTCCATACCTAATGTTGGCATGTTGTCTATAATAGGCCTGTTACATTTATTGTGATCAGTTTAAATATTGCAAATAAAGCATTATCAATTTTAGTTACTAAAGGTTTTTTTCTTCCGTTTTTTTCTCCATCTACCTTCTCCTTGGCACTTGCTTAAATTTGTGTTCAGGTGACTACATCAACCCAGTTTGCTCTTATTCCACATATGGTTGGAACTGGTCACAGAAAGTTCTCAGGATGTTTTGCAATTTGCTCTTTTACTGGTGATGTATGAGTCTTTAATCCAGGTCAAGCATTGTTTTTCTAGATACTTTTTTCACTGTATTTGATGTTGGTATAAGTTGTGGAGGGGAAAGGAAAAAACAAATCATTTAAATAGGGATACAGATGGACCCATTGCAACAGTGAGATGTACAAGACGTTATGTCAAAAAACAAACTTTACAACTTTGGCACGGGGGCGGAGCGGGGGATAAGAGGGATGGGACGGGGGCCCGGACGGATGGGAAGGGTTGGGAAAGGGAAAAAAAGGAGGAGACAACAATGCCTGATAAAAAAACGTACTCATTACCTTGCTCATGTAATTGTAACCCCTCTATATGGTATGTTCACAATAAAAAAATCTTTAAAAATAGATTGCATATGACACATGAATTTCATGAGTGATACTTCTATATTTGAAATAAAACCTCACAATAAAAATAATAGTATTTTAATTAAAGTAATTAATACTTATGAAAGTAGAAATACTTATATTTCTCTTAGTAGATGTCAGATATCTTACACATTTTATTTGCTATCAAGTTAATTCTCACAATAATAGAATATTGAGTCTATGATAAAGGTGGGGAACTCTGTGGTCTTTTTCTTCAGTCCCACCAAATAGAAATAATGTGAAACACAGATACAATTATAAGTGTCTTAGAAGCCACGTTTTAAAAAGTAAACAGTTGAAATTAAGTAATTTTTTATTAAACCTAATATACACCAAATATGAGTATGACTGTAGAAAAATACAGACATGTCTCACATGCTTATTTTCTACATTAAATCTATCTAGTGTATATGTTATACACTAAATTCTCACAGCAATTTTTAAAATCACAATTTGTTTATTTAACTTTAATGAAAATCACACACTACTTTAAAATTTCTTATAGTACAAATCTAGTGATATATTCTTTTACCTTATACATATTTAAAGATTCTTTACTTTGCCTTTTATTTTAAAGATGCTTTGCTAGATGAAAATTCTGTATGAATTTTATTTAATTCTGTAATTTAAAGATGTACCTCTACTGTCTACCTTGCATTGTTCTCATGAGAACTCTTAAGTCATCCTTACCTTTCTTCCTTTGTATATAATGCCATGGTTTTTCTTTAGGCTACTTTTTAATTTGTGTCTTAAATGGATTGGTTTATAATCTGGCTTGATGTTTTTTAATTTTTTTGTGATTATGGTTTCTTGAATTTCTGGATCTTTGAAGTATAGTCTCCACAAAACTAAGAAACTGTTTCTGGTATTTCTTCTAATTATTCTTACCCTTCTCCCACAGATTCCAGCTGTTTGGACAATTGACCAGCTAGAAATAGAAAACTGTTTCTTTGAAGGTCATTTAGATATTATAACATTATTGATAGGCCACTCAAAATTTTCAGCACAGCTTATGAGAAGCTGATGAGAAACATATATAGATAGATAGATAGATATCTGTCTTGTCATGTATTTAATGATTTCTTAGGATCTTTATGGCTCATGGGTAACATATTCCCCACCCTTGAGTCTTAAAGGTACCCCATAGATAATATCCATACTCTGTTCATATTCTTTCAGACATTTAAATCTGCTTTAAATTTGTAGTTTCCACGGCTATTTGTTCAAGTTCACTCATATTTTCTACTCTGCTTGAAACCATATTTAGTGTATTCTTCATAACATTCATTGCATTTTTTTTCTGCTGGTCATGAGGCTTGAACTCAGCTCTCCAGTCCAAGGCTACATGTCTACCTCTACCACTTGAGCCACAGCGCCACTACCAGCTTTTTCTGCTTATGTGGTGCTGAGGAATCGAACTCAGGGCCTTATGCATACAAGGCAATCACTCTTCCACTAAGCCAACTTTCAAGCCCCATTCATTGCATTTTTAACTTGAATATTTTTTAAATGTTACATGAATTTACCACACTTGTTTGATCGTTCTTCTAGCTCTTACACATACAATATGGTATTATAGTAACTGTTGCAATGTCCTTTATTATCTATCTGGATTATCTATTTATTTTATCTGGATTATTATCTATCTCTATCATTGATCTGGATATACTCAGGGTTCAGACTATTTTTTCCTAGGTATTTCTTTTTTGAGTCAAGCTATTGCTATGTAGCTTAAGTCCCTCAAACTCATGATCCTTCTTCCTCAACCTCCTAAGTGCTGAAACTGCAAGCATGTACCCCTTTCCCAGGCACAAATCAATTTTGATTGGTTGATATTCTCCATATTATGAATCATATTTTCCTATTTCTTTGCAGGCCTAATGATTGTGGTTGTATCCTAAATATTGTAAATTTTATCTAGTTGGGTGCTTTGTATTTTTGTATTCCTAAAAATATTTTTGAGGTTTGTTCTGGTATATTGTTCCATTACTTCAGAGTAGTGTAATATATTTCAGGATTATTTTTAAACTATTTTTAAGCTCAAGACAACAGAGATTTTTTAGTCTATGATCAACTTTCTCCACTACTTAAGAAACTTCTGAGAAGTACCTAGTGTTTTATGACTTGTAAGGTTCTCTTGCTTGATGTTAAGATCTAGCATTATTATTAGCCCTGAATTTTCTCATGGGATCGTTTCCTTCAATCCTTCTGGGGGGCTTATCTTTATCCTCATGTATTCTTCATATGTGAATATTGACCATTTTCCTATAGAATATTTGAATTCTCATATTTAGAGATTTCTTTTTCTTTTTTTTCCTTTTTTATTGTGAAAATTTCCTACAGAGGGGTTACAACAATATGAGCAAGGTAATGAGTATATTTCTTATCAAGCATTGTTGCCTCCTCCTTTTTTCCCCTTACCATCCCTTCCCATCTCCCGCCCCCCCACGCCAAAGTTGTAAAGTTTGTTTTTGAACATAACATCTTGTACATCTCATTGTTGCAATGGGTCCACCTGTATCCCTGTTTAGACAATTTGTTTTTTCCCTTCCATTTTCACTGTATTTGATATTGGTATAATTTGTACAGAGATTTGTTTTTCTTCAGCACTTTTCTCTTTGGTTCTTTGCCTAATTAATCCAGCTTCCTGGACAGCTCTATGTCTTCAAGTAAGGGAAACCATTGGGTTCTGACTGCATTCGCTCCAAGTCACAAGCTTGATACTCTCCATGCAGTAATTTGGGGGCAACTATAGGGCTTCTTTGTCTATTTCTTTTCTGTCTTGAGACACTATAAGTTGCCTGATGTGAAATGAGTTCAATATTGCTTTTTGGTTTTGCTTTTGTTTTGTGATGGTCCTGGGATTTGAACTCAGAACCTAGGTGCTGGTGCTATATATAAGGTGTTTTTTTTCTTGCTCAAGGCCAGTGCTCTACCACTTGAGCCACAGCTCTACTTCTGGCTTTTGGTGGTTGACTGGACACAAAATTCTCCCTAAGTTTCCTGCCCCAGCTATCTTCAAACAGCAATCCTCAAGTCTCCTGAGTAGCTATGATCACAGGAAGGAACCACCAGTACAGGGATTCGACATCATTTTTAAAATTTATTTTTAATACAATTTATTGTAAAAATACTGTACAGAGGGGCCACTGTTATATGACTAAGGTAATGAGTTCATTTCCTATCGAGCATTGCTAACTCCTCCTTTGTTTTTCCCTTAACATCCCTTCCCTCCCCACCTCCCCAACACCTCCCTCCCTCCCTCCACCAGTTGTAAAGTTTGTTTTCAACAAAGTGTCTTATACAACTCATTGCTACAATGGGTCAATCAGTATCCATATTTAAGCATTTTGTTTTTTCCCTTCCCCTTCCCAAATTAGAAAAGTGTGTATACAAGATTCAGGGCACTGGACTCAAATACAGTGAAAATGGGGGGGGGGAGAACATAACAAAGAAACAAAAAAATCACATAGTACACTATAAGTATGTTAAAAACAATAGCAAAAAAATGCTTGAGTCCCTGTCTTGGGGTTCATTTTGTTTAACAACATCTTATATGTTCATATGTATAGCTTTTGACCTTTTCTGCTTGTCCTACATTTCTTTTATACCTTTTTTTTAGAATAAAATTTTGTTGTTTATTTCTATTTAGGCCCTAAATTTTTTTCACTTTGAAGTTATCAGAAGATATTTTTAATATTCAAAATCAAAATAAATTCCAATCAACACCATCAACAATTTCTCAGCCCTAACATATTTCATCTATTTCAATATTTTTTTCAAACTCTTTGTGATTAAGTGATTACATAATTTCACAAATTTCACAGCATTGTGGGATAGTGATACTTAGTTAAAGTCATAAAACACATTCTAACTTTCATGGGGAAAATTGTCTATCGTGGTCTATAACATTTATGAGTTCTAGAGCTTTAACAATAGTTATTTCTTCCACATTGGGGGAATATGTACATTTATTTTGCATAGAGTCATCTGTTCCCTGTTTCCCACTTGTTCCC